TTTTCTTTATCCAACGAACGCTAATGTTAAGGCAATTTGTGAACATATCAAACCTGCTCGTTACTGCTTGTCTAGAATTCTAGGTTCAAACGACAGTTTAGAATTCTAGGTTGCTAGATAAAGTCTTTGATACCACGACAGTGGATTAGTTATACATTCATGTTTGAGTTTGAAACTACGACCATGGACTTCAATGATGAACCACAAGAGGAAGAAGACACATTCGAAGATGAGCCTTATGTGGAGTTTCCATTTGATGAGAGTGTTCTTACACTAGAACAAAAAGTGGAGTTGGATGAGCTTTACAAGGAAAATCCAACCTTGACACGGAGAGACTTAGCGGCTATGATCCGGGTGAATCTCATCTCACACCAGGCTTCACTTGAAGGAAGGGAGCTCACATTTTCTGAGATTATGGTAGCTCATGCACTTGAAGAGGTAATTTATTGGGTTCCACCATACCAACTAGAAGGTACATACGACTCAACCTTTGAATTTCATGTTTATGAAGATAGTTACATGCCTAGTGGTGAAGATGTAACTTCTAGTTTGCAGACTCCCATGCTCATTCAGGAGTGTTATGATTTAATATGTGAGACTCAAAGACTAGACACTCTTAGAGTAGAAAAGCTTGCTAGGATTATCATGAAGTATGCTTTGATATCTATCATCTGTGTGCTTTAAGTGTTCATGATCTCGAGTTTAAGGTTTCAATGCTAGAAGAATCTAGTTCTCTTCTAGAAAGTTCTTTTCTAGGAGATGTGCTTAATATAGATAATATCTTGAATGAGGTAGAGGACCCTAAGGTTGAGGTAGATTCTAGGAATGATAAAATTGTGTTCTACATGATTGATGGGGATGAAATTAACTATTTTGTGATAAACTCGTTTAAACATGAAGTATCTTTCCATTAAATGCATTTGATTCTCATGAGCATCTAACTAGGGAAGATTCAAAGATATATGCTACACTGGTAGTAAAATCCCTTGATGAGAGTTTTATCATTTTGTCATGGATGTGTCATCTCGCATATTTTGTTCATCTTACTGATAGGAGAAGGACAAAAGGTGCATTGACCCA